TTCCAAAAATCTTGGTGCAGTCAGTGATGAGCAGGATGAATGATTTCACCAAAATTTGAAAGTCATGGAAGCACAGTACCAAGGTAGATGAGATGCACATATGATGGCTGACTATTGTTGAAGCATCAAGCAAGAATGTACACTGATTAAACACTCCAGAAAAAGACATAAATGAAAGTATTTGCCCTAACTCATGATGCGCTTGCCAAAATCGCGAACATGAGAAGGCATGCTGGGTGTGTCATATCAGAAAGCAATTAACACATTTTAAATTTCATTAATTATATGTTAGGTGATCAAGTATGAACAAGCCCTTATTAAGCATTGGGTTCAGGTATTTGCACGTGTTTAGGCAGTTGAAGTCGCTAGGTAGAGTTGCCTAGAGTAAGAGAATCACACCATACTTTATTTAGTAGCCCTTATGATGAATGAAAAGAGTGTGCTCATCTTTGTTTAGCAATGCATAATTATAAAGTTCTTTTTGTGAAAATGTAAAACCAGTTGAAATTTACCTCGGACTGCATGCTCAGTTTGGGGAAGCTATTCTTTCATGGTCTAGAGCAGGATTTCTTAAACTTTTTTCAATCGTGACCCATTTTTATCATTGAGATTTTTTTGCGACCCCCCAGGATCCCATAATATTTACAAAAATTTTGTGGAACCTCATAAGCATTGTGCAAATACAACACACTCGCGAGTGAAACTGCCAATTTCTTCACTTGTACTGTAATATACTATTGCAGTTTTAAGTCATTAACTTTAATTTCTAATTTTAAGTTATAAAACAATGTGAAAATTTTAAATAAGTAACAGACAAAATGACAGTGTCGCATGCAAAGCAAAAAAAACGAACATTTATATTATAAAAAGAACGTGTCTACCTGTTTTCCTTTTTCTTTGGCTGTATTGTCTTATCTTTATCTACTTTCAGATACATTGTGTAAAAATATTTGGTAATTGTAAAATTATTATAATAAGTTAAAGAAATATCAAAACTGCTAAATTTTTGGTGACCCTCTGCTGCAGGTTGAGACCCACAGTTTAAGAAATGCTGTTAAAGGTTTACTGCAATGAGTTCGAGCAAGGCCATGATCCTGTTGCGAATCAAGGTCATCCCCATCGTCCTTGTATCAGTGCGACTAATGGAAACATTGCATGTGTTCATGTGTTTATCGAATGTGATGGATGTTGCACATTTCTTCAAATTTTGGAACAATTTGGTGTTAGCTATGGAAGTGTCCAAACAGCCATCAGAAAGCAGTTGGGCTTCAGAAAAATCTTAGCTCATTAGATTCCGGTCGTTGGTTTCTGATGATGATAAAAAAGCTGCACTAGTTCACATTTCTCATTTGCCTCAAACTCTTTCTAAAGAAGGGCAGTCCATATTTACACACACACACACACACTCACATATATATATATGTATATATTTCCACCTTTTGCATAAAATTGTCACCTGTGATGAGACATGGGTGCATCATTACGCACCCTAGTCAAAGCGTGCATGCATGGAGTGGTGAAGGAAAGGCAAAGTAAACTCTGTGAAAGCCAAAAAATGTTGGCCATGTTACACAAAAGACGAGATTGTCCCATCCATGAATTGTTGATCCTGTACAACAATGCTAGGCCCCGCACAACATGTGTAACACAGCAGAAACTGGTGGATGCACTGGAAAATGCCTGATCATCCACCTTACAATCAAGAATTATCATCATGTGATTTTCCCATGTTTGGACCCTTCAAACAAGCACTTGGAAGTAAGTGATTGGAGACCAAAGATCAAGTGGAAATAGTGTACAGCTGGTTAGATACCTGTCCAACTTCATTCTGTGAGAGTGAAATGAAAAATTTTCCTAAACGTTAGGAAAAATGTTTCATAAAAGGAGATTATTTAGAAAAATAATTCGTAGAAATTTAGATGTTTCCTATAAAATAAATTTTGTTTAAACCAAAGGCTCGTTTGTATTTGATTCATCCTCGTGTAAACACCGGTGTAAATGGGGATTAACATCAGCAGTACACTTCAGAATATTTTAAAGAATGTAATAAATGAAATACAATTATTATGCACATCTTGCAGATTGTGCTCGTATGCTCCTTACAAATACTATTATTGCAAATCATGTCTTTCCTTGTTTTTAGGGTAATCAGTGCATCTTCTGTAAATGTTTTTCATCTTTTTAGATGGTGGTTCCAATGTTACAACCTTCTGAAATTAATTTTTCTTTTACTTCCAAAGGAAGTATTATTTGCTCCTGCCATTGATTTGTGTAATGATTTGAGTAAAGAATGCCTGTTTCTATTTGGGTTGGTGGCTTACTGTGGTTATCATATACTTTACGGTTGGATTCCTGGACATGTGGGTAGAAAAGAAAATCAGTTGGCAGACATCACAGCAAGATCAGCTGTTGAACTATCTAGTGAACTCGTCCCTTTGAGAGATATCAGAGCCGTCATGAAGCAAAAGATCCTGACTAAATGGGAGCATTTTTTAACCATCAAATAAATAATAAATTGAGAAATGTAAAACTGAAAGTAGAGTTTTGGGAAGGCTATTAGAATTTAGAGGGAGGAGGTTATCGTGCTACTGATAGTTATCTTTTGAAAGCCAAGAGTGAGCCTCTTTGCTTGAAATATAATGTCTAGCTTATGCTGCATCACATTTTAGAAAAATGTGTATTTATTTAAAATATTATAATAGCTTTGAAATACCTCTTGGCCATAAAAGAGGTCAATTTAAACTTCTTTTAGTATTTGAGAGAAATTGGCTTTTATTATTTAATTTGATTGGGTTTTGATTGCTTAATTAGTTTTAATTTGTGTTTTATGTATATAGCAAGAGTGCAACTGATCTGCAATTATGTTCAGATAGTCCACAGTTTTCATGGTCTGTTCTACAAAGACTAAGGGTATAATAGCTGCCTATGAGAATGCCCCCAAAGCATAATACTGCCACCATTAGCCTGTGTATGACCTGCTATACAGTAGGACAGGAACTGTTTGCCTGGAAGGTGGTATACCAACATAACCATTATATGTATTGAGATTTTACCTGATTTTAAATTTAAATTTATCATGTTGCTTAACTAGATTACTTGATTAACTTGATAAAAGTCCTTTTAAATCAGCATAATATGATCTTGTGTTTGACACGTCATAACCTTTTAGGTTATACACCATGAGTCATATCCTCCATCCTTCCGAATTTTCAGGTAATTTTAATGTGCCCTCTATCGAATTTGCTTAGATCAGCTGCATTTCCCATCACTCGCAAAAGTAAGTGCAAGAATAATTCCTTACTTTCTCCAAAGCAGCAGTTAAATACCATTCCCACACAATCACATGTCATTCAGTGAGTTCATTGAAAAATATGGGGATAGTCATAATGTTTCGACTCATCAGTGTATATAGTTTTTGTGTGAATAAAACTGTACTTTGTGAAAACAGTATATTTAATAAGGTTTTCCTTTATATGCATATTTTTTATGACTTTTTGATGAAGAGAGGGTATCCTGTAGCTTAAAACGTTGATGTGTTAAACAAGAACTGAGGTTATTTTTGGATTCAGGAGCCAAAAGTTAGTCAAAAACAAGTGACATATTGAAGACCAAGGAATTACTGTTCTGTGATATGAAAGATATTCGAGAAGAACAGTTGTATGTACTTGTAATTGATGCTTAAAATGCCTTTTCCAGTTATATATTGATTTAATAGCCCAAAGGGACGTTAGCTTAGAAGGGCTATTAGTCTCGAAATTTCATTTTGCATTGAATCGCTTAAATGCGATGTATCACTTTTCAAATTGTTGCCACCAAATAATATTGCCTTGTATTATATTTAAAGAAATTAAATAGTGAAGAATCTGCATGAATGTATGTACGCTTCTCGCATTGTGAATAACAGTGGTACCTAGAGTAATCAAATTTTGAATAACATCGGCCTTCACCCGGACGACAACTGGAAGCTTGAATTTTGAATTTGGTTTATTGTCTTATTTCATATTTTCTTAAACTTTAGCAAATTTTTGATTTAAAAAACTCGTGGATTTCAAAGTGAGTAGGGGCAACACTGAAGGGAATGAAACACTTTTATCTCTAATGGGCAAGACTGTCTATCGGAAATTTTAAAAATATGCTGTTTTTAAATTTTTTAGCTCAAATGCTGTAAATGAATAAAAAAAAGGGGGGAAGGGCCGTTTGGGCATAATATGAAATCTGAAATCTTTCGGATTTTATATATATATTTATTTTTTACCCGTTCAGTCATGGACTGCGTGAACCTTTGAATAATTTTTATGTTTGCATGATACATGATTTTACTTGTAAACAAATAAGCCAAAACTGTGGGGGGGGTTGGGGGGGGGAACCTTTTTGGGCTAGCATACATTCACTTTCTTCCTTTGTGTAGCATTTACATTGAAAGTAATGTGTTCTCTAACTAAATGGCATTTTTATTACATAAAGCAAACAGAACTTTCTGTCTAACCACTGTTTGATGACTATTACCCAAGTAGGTAAGTGCCATAGGAAGTTCTTAAACAGTTTATTTAGTTGGTCGTATATTGTTTCAGATCTTTGTATTGTATGATGATCCACTTTTTTTTCAGAAAAGTCATATGAACTTACTTTCCTAATGCAGATAGTCCTTGAGTGCTTTCTTGTATTATATGAGTGCTTCTATATATTAAAACTATTCACTTGTTATTTTTTAATCACACCTGATTTTCATGCCATATTTCAGCCCTCATACAAGTAGTTAGTGTTTTTGCATTTGCGAAATTACGCTGTTTGTTAGTATTTCTGGGAGAATACTATTTTAATGTAGTGTAAATAGTATAAAATAATTTTTTTGTTTTTTTTTTTGTTTTTAAACATTTAAGTAACTAAACCTCATGTTGGTAAAATATGTAAATGTGCTCATATTTTAGTTATGTATGCATTAAAAACATTTATCTAGAATACAAAAAAAAAAAAATTTATATTTAGATTGCTTTTTTCAGGGGAAGCCAAACTACTTGATGCCGTTTTTCAGCCTCCAAGTTTTTGACTTCATAATTTCTGCATTAACGGCTGTTGGCTATTTTTCATCAGTTCCCGATGTGCGTCGCATGCTGGAAGAAGCATCTGATTTACCGCTTCAGAAAGAATTACTACACTTAAATCCTGAATGGTTATGTGCAATTTTGATGATAGCTGTTGTAATTTGTATGATGTTAAAAGTAAGCAATATGCTTTTCTTTATCCCTATAAAAATTAATTGAGCAGTTAGTTGATAATTATATATTAGATTTCATAGCCTTTTTTTTTTTTTATACTACTAAAACATATAGTTTGGCTGAGTTATCACCTCTTAGATTTTGCTGCTGTAGGACATCACATTCAAATTTAAAATTAATTTGATAATTTTATGTTTAAAATAAAGCTATATTTTAAAATGGGGTTGTGCAAATAATTTTATAAGTAATTTTAGCATTTAGGGATATCGTATATAAATCTGAATGAAGTTGATTTTTAATTTTCATATTGAAAGGGGTTTTAAGATATGAGTTTTGATGTTAGTGGGCCAAGCAAACCAAATGCATGTACTGGGTGAACAAGAAATAACATAGTTCTCTAAGAACAGAGGTGTTTACAGCTGTAAATGTAATAATCTAACTAGTAAAAAGAATGTTACATATGAAATGAAAAATAAATAAGCAGTATGAAAAGGAACAGAAATATGGCAATGTGAAACTTAAAATTTGGCAAAACAGGAACCATATTTTGGCATAAAATTCTAAATGAAATTCTATAGATTGCGAGGGCAAACAAACACAGGTTACCTTTCCATCAAGAGCAAAAAATTCTGCAATGAAGGCAGGAGCAATGACTGTATCAAAATCAATGACTGAAGTGAAGTGAAAATGAGTGTAGCACCATCTCTTGAAAATAATAATGAAATGTGAAAAATTAAGAAAAAATTTTAAAAGCATTGAAAAGACTCTATTGGAGTTGATGTCATTAACTAAAAAACATAAATTTGTGTGTGTGTGAAAAGCTTCAAGAATATCAAATTTACCAGCTAAAGAAGCTTTATGGATATTTTTTTTCAAACAAAATGTGATTAGATGTCCAATTGTGATTAGCCATCAAATATTTATTTGTCATGTTTTGGTGGTGGGGCTGCTGAAGAAGAGGAGCTTTGTCTGATTGCCCTTGAAATCGAAGTTTTATGTAAAATCTATACCAAAATGAAGTTGCTTCTTTTTCAAATTAACTTTGATTGTAATTACTGCATGAAATGAAATTTGTTATATCCATTTGTTAAAAAGTACTGAATTGTACCAGTTGAAACAAAAGTGATACACAATTTGCCTTTCCACTTACAATTTTCTTTGAGATACTGAATATGTTAAGAATGGGATTAGAATATTGGTGTTATCTCTTGAAATTTAAAATGTGATTTAAGGGGAAGAGATTAATCTGAGACCAGGTAATAAGTATGTTTTAGCAAAATTCAAAATACCAAAGGAAAAGTTGATATTTTGAATTTTGTTAAAATATACTGTGTGATATCAAGAATGTAACTTGAAATTAGGAGACTAAGAAATAAGTTCAGATTCAACTTCATCAGCTAAGTTTCATCTTCAAAACAGACAAAAATTAGTACTTTTCTATTAAAGGTATACTCTGCGTTTTCAGCACCGTATTGGCACATTTTTGGCTTCCTTCCCTGTCCCTTGTTTTGATACTAGATGTGTTTCCACAAACTTCTGTTTTCTCCATTTTTACATAATTTTTATTGGTAACTTTTTATTTCTGTTGGTTTCATCTCTGAAACTCCTTATAAAAAGAAATAACGAAAAAAAAGTAGTTATTACATCTTAAATGATCCAATAAAATACACTAAAGTAAAATAAAAGTGAACAGTTAAAAGAATCTCACAAGGCTAAACAGCAATCAAAATTAGAAGTGGCATTTAGTGTAGCAGAGAATATTTCTCCTTTGAAATACATATCATGCCATATGAATTTAATTAAATTAGTCTAAATGTTGGCAGGTGTTTATTGCTTAACCTCCATGCTCTCAAAAAATGGGTAATAATGCCCAGTATCTGGATCAGTGAAATGACAAGAATAATTTAATACGAAATATTCCAAATCGTGAAACCCATTTCACTATGTAACACAAGACCTATGATCAGATGAGACATGTTGTAAGCGATTTTAAAGGCAGTTATGCCAAGAAGGAAGCCAAACAAACTGCCACTAAGAAATAATGAGAAGACAAAAAAAAAAAAAAAAAAAAAAAAAAAATAGCATCAATTGATATGACTTTAACAGGAGAGAACTTAAAAGTGCTTTTCTTTAATTTTAAATATGTATTAGACTTAAAAAGAAATTTGTTCACTTTTTAAGCATGTTTTGTATTTTTAAACTTTGATGTATGCTTATCTAATATCTAAATGTAATTTCAAGTATCCACAATTAGTTTTTAAATCTTGTTCTGATTATTTTATTAGTGTTTTTTTTTAATCATGTTCTGTTTATTGTGTTCCATATGCATTTGTAAAATAAAAACTGTTTTTATAGGCATATTTTATGGGAGTTGTATGGTCATGTTATAAGTATTTAAAATTGCTACATGTTGCTGAAATTGTCGGGAGCTATATTGAAGCTGATAATGAGGTGAGGAGATATGTTTTAAAATTTTTTAACAAATTGAAAGTTATTTTATTTCATTACTTAAATAACCTTTCATAAAGTCTACTAAATCATTGATGTAAGCATTCTGTCCCTAAAACAATTTCTTTTTGTATGGCTTGAGGGAAGGAAAAGACAGGAGGCTATCTGTCTTTAATGTGTGACTTATTGCTCCTTTCGTAACTTGGGATGTTTTTTCGAAATTTTTTTTACAAAATGTAAATTTTATTTATGTTTGTATACAATTTCTGTTTGTAACTGTTTTATGCAATATAGGACAATGATAAAAAAAGTAACAAACATAATTCAATATCTGTATAATAATATTTCACGTGAATGTAATATCTATAAACAAGTTGTCAAGTGTACTTGGGTAGTTTGTTCCATAAGTACCATGTTCAAATAAAAGTGCTGTTTTAGGAACTTGAATGCCTTTTGGTTTCTTTTCATGTCTATATTAAAATCTCCTATCGTAATAATTGGTATGTCTGTATCTATATCAAACTCTTCATCAATGAGCAAACTTGACTAAGTATCAGTGCACTAAAGAGAAACAGTTTTAAATCAGCTGAATTAACTGTCAGATGAATGTATGGAGATGCCAATATAAAACATGCTGCGAGAACTGCACAATTGGGAGCTTCATACATCTTCGTGTGAGAACTCCTCGCATTACACAGCAGTGAAATTATCATTCTTATTCTCTGCATTCAAATTTTTCATAAACCATAGCCTATCACAAATACTGCAAACATATCTGAATTTATTGTGCATAAAATGTTGTGTAAAATATTTTTTACATTGTTTATCTTAATACTTCCATTGTTTGCAAAAACATTCTCCTGTGTGATCAGTCTGAGGTATGCATAAATCTGGTGATAATGTACTGGATGAATTTGTAGTTGAGGCTCCTTTATTTATTTGAAAATAGTCTTGTGACATTGAAATTGTTTTGCTTTTTTTTCATTGTCGCATTTTGCTTATCCTTTGTGCAACATATTTGTTCGTTTTTCTTTTGTCTTTATCTGAATAGCTACTCGCTCTGTTCTCCCTTTCAACAAATTTTTTCATGGACTCATTTTAAAATTTAATTATTTTCAGTGAAACAAAATTGAAAAATTGTACAACCATTCATTATTATTATCCAACAAGCAACTGAATTGGAGCCGCCCACCATACGAGAATGTGTAGGGGTGGGGATGCATGGGCCTCCACTGTGCATGCTCACAGTGTAAAGCATCATCAAAAGCTTTAAAATTTTTAAATTTTTAAACTTTGACAGTCAGCTGTGGTTAAACCATAATTTCCAAATTTTATTTATTTATTTTATTTTGTAGTGTACACCTGTGTTTGTCAAATGAAACATAAACCTCTGTGATCAACAGTTTGATTTTTCAGTGTTAATTTCCAGGAATTGTTATGTTAGAATAATTTATTAAATCAGTAATTTTAATAAAAGTCATACCATGAACACTAGCCTCAGAATCTTTAGTTGATTGATTGCATTGATAGTTGATAAGAAGTTGTTAACAAGGCAGGAGTGTAATTAATATGCATTCACACAGCAAATATGGTTGACATGTAGTACATCATCATCTATCATGCTAAGAGTGGTCATTGTAATGAAGGTGGATTTAATATACTGAGTTATCAGGTGGGACTTTTGTGACTGGTAGTTGTAATGACTGCTATGATGAGCAGGTGTTATGGGCATCTGATGTTGCATGGATAACTCAGCACATTTCATAGAAATTTCAAATATGGAACTTTTTACATAATGTGATTACAAATTAAAATGTTGCATTTGATTGTCGCAGCATGCAAATAACTCGCATACTTTGTCGTAATTGATTGAGCAAATTGTCATCTCTTCATATTGATAAACATACCTTTTTTTTAAACTGCATTTCTGCTTTTTATGTAAGAGTTTGTAATTATTTTTGTTTGAATCTGTACAACAGTTTTAAAAATTTGTATTCACATCATTTTGTTATTTTAGGTCTTGCTTCCACCAGATTATGATACAGCAACAAAATCGCCACCACATGCTCCTTTGTATGCTCCTCCTCCATACGTTGCTGATTTCCATGGGGTGTGATATGTTTCAGATATTTGTTAACTCGTCACTTTAAATATTGTAGCTAGTCATTTGATTTTCATTCATTATGTTTCTTAGATTAGAGGCATAATATTTGCTAAATTGTGTACCAAAAGTAAGTATTTTAAGTTTGCAAAAAAATTCTCTTTATATGTTATCCCAATGTTATTTAGTGGAATGGTTGGTGGCAATAAAATGTTTTGAATTTCATAATAGATCTCTGTAAATACAAATTACTGCCTATATTTGTTAAATTTGACTGCTGAAAAAATAGAAAAGCTTATTTGGATGTATTTCTGAGTGAAATTTTTCAGTTTATTTCATTGAATTTCCAACTTTTCATTTTTAGAGGAAGGGGTGTCTGTGTTATTTAAATCTATAGTAAATTATGCTTAAACCTTTTGTTCTTCTCATTATGTCATATTTCTGTTTGGCTGTATAATATTTTTCTTAAAATCAGATATCAGAAATCATAATACAGTGAAACCCCACCACAATGAAATTCAAAGGACCGGAAGTTTAGTTTGCTGTTTAATCCAATGAGAATGGATTATCATATAGAAGTGTAAAATTGTCTGAGGAATTGAAGGGGGGGGAGTAATTAGTACTGTGAACTACTGAAAGAAGCAAATAATGAATTAAAATCATTTTAAGCATTAATTACAGTAACTAAGCACAGTTATTAATCTTTTCATTCTCACCCTACATTAATTTTACATGATAAATTAGCATAAAATCATGCATAAATTTAGTCTCTTCTGTAGTATGTATTTATAATTATTCATGTTATGAATAAAATATATAAAAACGCTCAAAAATAATAATGAAAAATGGTGAATTTATTTTTTCTGCTGACATTTATTGCAGTGTAATTTTATCTTTACAAGACTATAAATTTTGGTTTTGCAATTTGTATGACTAATAAATTCTGAATAAGTTATTTACAAAAACTGTAGAACATGCATCACAACTTTGACTTTTTTTTTTTTTTTTTTGCTAGAATTCTCTTTCCATGTATATTGTTTCTTCAGTATTCTTACCACCATCAGAATCTTTGAAGTCAGCATATATTACTGGTCGCTATATCTTCACCACCTCAATCTTTGAACATCTTCACCACATTTGAAAAAGCTCGGTCACATTCTGGAAGTGCTGAAATGCCATTTTTTTGCCAACCACTCAGTTATATGCATATCCTTTACTTTATTATCTTCCTCTTCAGCACAGTCTGGACATCTTCCTTTTCAATACACTTTCAACACCAAGCATGCTGAAAACAGATTTAGATGATTGGTTCTGTAATCATTTGCTGAATTTTTTTTAGTTTCATTGCATCAATAAATAAAATACTATAACTTATTTTTAATTGTCACACTTCCTAAAAATGGTTAAACTGAGGTGCGTTCTGTAATAACACTTCAAGGACCTGATCATGTCTTTATCCACATGTAGCAAGATCAAAATTGCATTGGGAGGCAAGAAAAGAATCTTGATGATTTCTATTTTCGACATTGGTGCAGTAAAATTGCTGATCAAATGATCTTTGACTTTTGGCCTGAACTTCTCTATCTGATTGTAATTCTTCTTCAAGCACTTCTGATGACAGACATACCTTATAATTATTAACTATTATCAGAAACAAAAAGAATCATATTCTTAAAGCATTTTGGCTTTGAAAACTTTATAATCACCAAATGTCTATGCTGCTGAGTGCTATTCATGTAGGCACACACCATATTTGGTATATATCATGTAGGCACACACCATATTCATGTAGGCATCAGTGTAAAACAAACTTTCTATAAAGGTGCATGTGTATTTTCCCTTTCAAAAAGGTCACTATTTTCCTTGCTCAGAAATAGTGACATTTAACAAACATCTAAGGAGAAAACAACAGCTATCTAAGCATGTATTTGGGAAGAAATTGCTTAATCTCACAACTACCAAAGTGTTACAAGTCCTGGAGTTTTAAAATCACATATAAGCTCATTGAACTGGAAATTCCTTCATGAAAATAAAAGCCTCAAAGCCCTAATACATATAGCTTTTGATTTCTGAAGCAGAGGTTTTTGATGTGAAAAGCTGAACTGTTTAGCATCATTACAAAAATCTTGAAATCTCACTTGTTCTATTAAGAAATGGATTATTCTCCAAGAGAGATACAATTTATTATGCATTTCTAACATTTTGATTACAACTAGTTCTGCATAAGAATTAATTTCATTTCTAATATACAACAATTAACTGTTAAAATTCTTTCTCCCATCTTTCTTAAGAACAATTTCTCACTAAAATAGGAAATGAGGACAAATTTACTGTTAAAGACTTGTTCTCCCTTGATAATTTCTGTAGTAAGCTACAAAAGATATAAACAACTGAAGGCACAGTAAAAATATATACAGTGTTGAAAAGTAGCAATTTACAAACAAAAAACTGCAAGAATGGCATAAGTTTCTAAGAAAATGTTAATACTGACAAATTTCTAAACAATTGCAGCATTTCAAATTAACATGGATGACATCAAACTCTGTATATAATGTTGTTAGGCATAAGAGTGGCACTCCTTGATCAGTGTTGAAAATGTGTTTTCTTTCTTTGTAGTGGCAAGAAACTCCATCCCAGATATTTATTTTCCGTTTCTTACCATCAAATTTTGAAACATTCTGAGTCTTCGATAATTTTTCCTTAAGAAATGTGTTGTTTTTAATCTATCCAACCTGTCATTTGAGTAGTCCCTCCAATGTGGTTAGTAAATATTAGCCCAGATATTGGCAGATTGTGGTTTCTGTGAATTATTTCAGCAATGTTTCTTTCAACATACTTATTTTTGGCTCTTCTCAACTGTGTCGTGAATATTTTTTCCTTGAGCAGAAATTATCAAGTTATAGTTTTCACTCACGGCACTAACTGTAGATTTGGATAAACTGTATTCTCTGCAGATATTGATTAGGCTACATTCACTTTATTTTTGAAATAATGTGTAACCTTGTCTTCAATGCTGAATGTTAACAGTTTGCCATACAGATGAATATTTGACAGAAAATTATCACTAGTGAAGTCAAAAAATATGTGAGGCTTTGCCCTTCAGAAAAAATTTAAAAGGAAGATAGTTTTGTCAGAAAATGCTCTTTGAAGGATCCTCCTCGTAGGCAAATATCTCTTATGGCTTTGCCACATTCAGATAGCCAAAAACCAGTATCCAGTGAGAATGGATTGTTTTCCCAAGAATATGTGGCTGCAAAGCAAAGGTGCAACAGCATTTGTAAAGAAATTCTGAACATTACAAAATACTGTATTAAAAAGACAGAACTTGGAGAATGTTTTAAATACAGAACAAAAACTGATAATAAATTTCTATTCCCTAAAAGAGAAATCACCTGTCTAGTCCCAAACATCTACCTCTTACTACGAGTTAAAAAGTTCACAGCATCAGCCTTAATGGAGCTGTCTTACAGTTGAGCAGACTTAAATGATAAAAACTTGAATAAGAGAACCCAGTCAAGTTCATTGGTTCCATAGTTGTTGTGCGTCTTTTAGAATATGCTTATTGTGTGTCATAGTTTTCCAAGAATTGGGTGTTAAGTCTCCTTTACATAGCTTTTGTTTAGGACACTTAAAATGGTGTGGCTGAAGGTAAAAGAACGTCTAAAAAAGGCATTTTCTACTATCCTGACTAGCCTAAACTTAAATTATTTTAAGGTTAGTAATTTTTCAGTGAAAATTGCAGAAATTCTAGACTGTGTTCATCAAAGATATCCATCAAGTTTGTTATATCTGGTTTTCATACATCGTGAGGTTCACTGTGGTCACAGTCAAAACCTTGTACATTATATACAGAGTTTGATGTCATCCATGTTAATTTGAAATGCTGCAATTGTTTAGAAATTTGTCAGTATTAACATTTTCTTAGAAACTTATGCCATTCTTGCAGTTTTTTGTTTGTAAATTGCTACTTTTCAACACTGTATATATTTTTACTGTGCCTTCAGTTGTTTATATCTTTTGTAGCTTACTACAGAAATTATCAAGGGAGAACAAGTCTTTAACAGTAAATTTGTCCTCATTTCCTATTTTAGTGAGAAATTGTTCTTAAGAAAGATGGGAGAAAGAATTTTAACAGTTAATTGTTGTATATTAGAAATGAAATTAATTCTTATGCAGAACTAGTTGTAATCAAAATGTTAGAAATGCATAATAAATTGTATCTCTCTTGGAGAATAATCCATTTCTTAATAGAACAAGTGAGATTTCAAGATTTTTGTAATGATGCTAAACAGTTCAGCTTTTCACATCAAAAACCTCTGCTTCAGAAATCAAAAGCTATATGTATTAGGGCTTTGAGGCTTTTATTTTCATGAAGGAATTTCCAGTTCAATGAGCTTATATGTGATTTTAAAACTCCAGGACTTGTAACACTTTGGTAGTTGTGAGATTAAGCAATTTCTTCCCAAATACATGCTTAGATAGCTGTTGTTTTCTCCTTAGATGTTTGTTAAATGTCACTATTTCTGAGCAAGGAAAATAGTGACCTTTTTGAAAGGGAAAATACACATGCACCTTTATAGAAAGTTTGTTTTACACTGATTGTTAAGAAAGTAATAAAAACATTATGCTATAATAAATTTAATGAAAATAACACTGTATTTGCTAGTGAATCTTTAATTCGTAATATGACATCAGGTAATTAATTTATGGATCAATAAAGCATATAATATAATAATAAAAAAATTAATGAAATATGCACACACCTAAAGTCACTTTCATGTGTGGTAGAATATTTAAAATGTGAAAGGGGATATTTCACACAGCTAAAATCTGCTTCCCCAGTTCTGACCTTTCAAAACAAATATCTGTAAGTGAATAATTTTCATTATCTGATAAAAGATTTTTGTCTTCAACATCAGCTTTCTCTTTAAAAAAAAAAAAAAAAATTATCTTTAATGTTATTTCTAGCTATACTTTGCTTTCAAAATATAGCAATAGAAACTACTTAAAAAACCACCAAATTCACCCTTATTTGTGCAGGAAATTATCCAGTCCTGCTGTCATTTATACGAAGTAAAATTAACTAATTTGCGAGTTCAACTCATTCGTAATGCTGTCAACTGTTTTGAAGAACAAGCCCACTTCTGCACCCACTGGAGCAAAAATCTACTTCATGAGTAGGACTCATTCTTTACCAATTTAGGCAGAAATTTGTAATGCAAGCTATGCTCATTTGTGCTTACTGTGGCACGTAACTGAAATGCAAGATGAACTTGTTGATGACTATCAAGAGGTTAAAATAAATCTTCCAGTGTGAGAACTTAAATATAGGCAAAAAAATGTCAAGTTTAAAATCTGAATGAATTATGGGTATGAAATGTTTACTTTCTAGATGCTTCTCTTTCTCTCAATACTTT